AGTGGTCTCTGGGCTAGGCCATCTTATAAAAACCCAGGGATTGTGGGTAGATGCAAGATTAGCCCATCAGGTATTACCCTCAATGGTCTTACACTTAACCTCTCAGCCCATAATGATCAAACACTGCCCGACAAGAGAGGACCTCTCCCTCGGCTGCAAGGAACAGTGCTGCACTCTCTACTCACATGGATCTCGGGAATTAAAGTCTTTTGCATACATTTTGAAACCGTAATATATATGTATATCTTTATATAAATATATTTTGCAAAAATAAATTTCAACAATTGAAATCGGTTGCTGGCAGCTTTGGTTTTGATCAGAGAGAGTGCATCCCCGATCATTACCTTTGTCCAACAAAGGGGCTGATCCTGTCACTATGATCACCACTCAGATGAATTTCGGACTGTCCCAACATACCTAGGTTTTGACCCCATCTAAGGATCTCACTGATTGGCATATCAAATGCAGCCCAATCCAACACGTAGTGCAGTATCATAATCGAGTCTACGGGTTAGGTGTAACATTCCAGTTTTGCCCACTAATCCCAAGGTTCAGGGCAATATTGGAATTCTGGTCTGGTTTAGGGTTTTAAGTAAACCTACACTGCTTGTACCTCGGGTCTCACCCTGGCGGCTGAGACAGGCTACCCCAACCAACTTGGCGACACATTAGTGTTAGCCTTATCAGGATAAATCTCCCTAGATCTATCCAACGGCTATGAACATTCTAAACTAACATGAGTCTCATATGTGTCCACCTTAAGGGTATTACATAGAAATACACCATAATAACAAGAATCAAATATGTACTTTATTCATTTACATTAAATGTCATAAGGTACATCATTTCGATTGAAGCTAAGGCCATACACTGTCTAACAGTGGTTGAGAATAATTAATAAACTATTCAATAACATTGTGTTGTTTCTGATGACCCCCAATGCCCATCTTGTGTTGGGCTAGGGATGGCAATTTTTCCCATCCGATGGGGACCTGACTTCCCTGACCCCATCGGGTTGGGGTCGTGGATGGGGATTGAGGTCCCTACCCTGCCCCGATCTCGATTATATATATATATCAAAACATATTTAAAACATTATTTATAATAAGTAAATTTATTTTTCAAAAAAATTACTATTTTGTAAAAAAATTCGAGGATTCAAGTGCCCATAGGGAACCCATCTCCGTTAGAAATAGGGGATGGAGGACAAATTTTATCCCTAGTGAAAATTGGATACGGGGATGGGGTTAATTTCAAAATCGAAGGCAAAAATGAAAAATATGATCCCCACCCCGTTACCATTCCTATGATAGGTATAAACTTGATCTCTATTGGTGGATTTTGTTAGTATGATTGTTTTTATTTAGAAAACGAGGTTAGGTTATATTTATAGAGAATAGTATAATTAATGAAATCCTTTGCATACATGTTAGTATGACCAATGCATTATAAAGTTATACTCCTATTTTTTATGTTAAGCCTAGCTTTGTATTGTCTTTAGTGACATAATTTATAAAAAAAGACTTAAATTGTATCCAGTAAATGTGGTTTAGGGTCAATTAGACCGCGTGGAGCAGGTGTGAGAACATCTGTGGACTTGGCAATTTATTGGCAATAAAGAAAATGCCATTTAATGGGCATAAAATGGCACTTGTACAATTTTTTTATGTTTATACACCATGAAGGATAATATTGTCTTTATATTGACAAAAGCCTGTTTTGAATCAAGCAATGTTGTCAAATAGGCGCTTTTTTATTATAAAAAGCACCTTAACATACAGGTTTTAAGCGCTTTTCAAACGTGCTTATCAAAAAAGCACTTCTAAAAAAACTGTTTAGAGACAAGAAGCCCCCACCAAATGCAGCCAGCTAATGCTGTTTTTGGTTTGAGAGGAAAGGTAGGGAACCTTTCCCTTCAATTCCCTACCTTTTCTTTCAAACCAAACACAGCTTAATTGATGGAACCATCTTGTCGGAGATAAGTTTGGCTTTTTGAAAACAGGTTTGTTTTGACCTTCGGGATAAGGTAGTCACACACTGTGAGCATGTTGAATAAACACTTGTCCCTTAAAATACCTCCATCCTACCTTTGAAAAAATTAAGATCAACTTTTGATATAGGTGTAGAATTAGGGGCGGTTATGAGCCGAGCTTTTTATGAGTTATTCGAGCTTAGTTCGGTTTCAACTGAGCCTAATTTACAGGTTCATTTATTAATCGAGCTTAATAAAGCTCGTCTCGTAAGCCTTGCTAGTCGAGCTCGAATAGCTACATAATAATAATAATAATAATAATAATAATAATAATAATAATAATAATAATAGTATTATTATTATTATTATTATTACTATAGATATACTATTTTTATTTTTATATATAATAATAACTAATTATTATAATTCTTAATTTTTTAAATATCAAATAAAAAATATTTTTATATATAATTTTTTTTTATAAAACATTTTTCTCAAGTCGAGCTTGAGCTCAAGGTTCTAACTCGAACTAAGCTCAAGCTCGAGCTCAATGTTCTAGCTCGAACTAAGCTCGAGCTTGAGCTCAAGTCTCATACTACCTTGGCGAGCTGAGCTCGAATAGCTCGGCTCGGCTTGGCTCGAATACACCCCTATGTAGAATACAAGGTTTTAAAAACCAACCGGAGCTGGAACTGCTTTGACCACCGGTTTCTGGGTTAGCATTTCAATTGTCTAATTCAAATGGATGGCCCGTTCCAACTTAATAGATTAAAAAAATAATTAAAATAAAAGACGCCCAAAAACTATTATCCGGGTTAAATGGGTTGACGGTTCAACATGACACATTAATATGAGTGAGGGATAAAAGAATAGTTAAAATTAATATTTATTTAATTAAAAATATAAATAAATAATTAAATGGGGTAATGGGTTATATGCAATAAATCTGCATACAACCTAGGGCTGTTTTTTTTTTTCCAAACAGAGACAAACCTTTCTCCACCTACTCTCATCACTACAAAGAAGTGCTTTGATGAAGACTTAACCATGAGCCTCACATCAAAACCAATCTAATTATAAATTTTTATCGAAACGTGTGGGTCTATGACTATAGATGGATTCTTCCATCAAACTGAAACTTGAATATAGGGGGTGCAAACTTGGGTCGAGCCAACTTAAATCAAACCCAGAAGAAACAAAGTTGCGTCAGTTGGATTGAAGATTGGATCAAGGTTGAAAAAATACCAACTTGATATGGTCTGATTGGTCAGGGCTGATCACTTAGGCAATCCAACCTTCATAATTATATTATTATATTATGGAGAATGTTTGGACCGATGTTATTTTTTTTCAAGAAACGGTCACGTTAAGGCGTGATTTGGAGAAAAGCGTCAAAAGGTTTTTATTTATTTTTTTTCATTTTTCATACCATAAATAGCAACGTTTCCCTGATACAGCAATAAAAATACTTAAATAATAATAATAATACAACCAAATAAAAAATCACCATCATTTTCTAAGAAAACGGCATACCATTGCATAACTGTTTTCTTAGAGAGTGCTTGGAACCAAGGTGTCACGAGAGATTAGATTCCTGCTGATGTAGATTCAGTGCCACGTCAGTAAAAAAACTGCATTTTGATAGCCCGTTTCTTAGGAAAAAACGTTTTTACAATGAGTCTGGAGATTGGGAAAAGGAGGGGTTTTTTAAAACGTAAAATTGAAGAGTTTTGAATTGAATAACAAAGATGATATAATATATTGAAATTTGAAAAAAGCCGACTTGTTTCTAAGATGTTATAGAGTTGTCATTACAAATATATTATACTAATAAGGCAAATCATTTTTAATGAAATCAATTATTTGCCTTTCCTAAGACGTTCCCAATTATTTTACAAGAAACGGATGGCTTGTGCAACACCTTGGGGCCAAACAACTTCTTAAAAGCGGCAATGGAACCATACACCACCATAATTATATATTTTGCAGTCAATAAAAATTATAACCGAACCTAACTGGGGAAGGGTGAATTCCATTTTCATAATTGGGTTTGGGTTGAGCTTGACGCTAATAGGCTAGGATTGACCCAACCTGAACTGACTGGCTTCATACTTCAAAGCTTGAGCAATATCTTGAATTCAGAGAGCGGTTGGCAATCTAATCTCTTTGCGGGTGTGTCCGGATGTAGTTGGCAATCTAATCTCCTTGCGGGTGGGTCCGGATGTAGTAGGTACGTAGGTAAGCACAATGAGCGGTTCACAACCTAATAGCTGTCTGATTCATGTCCTAATTAATGCGTCTTTCATTTAAAAAAATAAAATAAATTAAGGTGCATTGGATGGGACATGTGTCACAGATCTATTACGTGTTCACTCTTATGTTTACTTGTGCCTGTCCGATTTACCTAACTTTATTTATAACCACAATTTACAATTCCACCAAATCGCCATTGCTGAACAGATAAAGAGAGCCGGTTCTTTTCTTCCTCTTCTTCTTTCTCCTCTCTGTTCTTCAATCAATCATCGATGGATTCATGTGAATCTGAAGTAACCTTTGATTTCTTTCCTTACTTCCGCATTTACAAAGATGGCCACATCGAGAGGCTCGTAGGCTCTAATATGGTTCCACCATCCCCAGATCCGCACACCGGCGTTCTATCAAAAGATGTCATTGTCTCGACGGAAACCGGTGTATCTGCACGGATTTTCCTCCCAAATGTAAACACTTCCGACCAACCACATCGGAAGCTCCCCCTCCTTGTTTACTTCCACGGTGGTGCCTTCTGCATTGGGAGCGCTTTCTCCTCTGCCTACCACCATTACGTCAGTTCACTAGTTGCGGAAGCAAACGTCATCGCCGTATCAGTGGACTACCGACTAGCTCCAGAGCACCTTCTCCCGACGGCCCACCTCGACTGTTTGGCCGCCCTTAAATGGGTGGCTTCCCATTCAAAAGGTGAAGGGCCGGAAGCTTGGCTGAACGATCACTCGGACTTCGACCGAGTGTTTCTGGCCGGGGACAGCGCGGGTGCCAACCTCGTGCATTACGTCGCAATGCGGGTTGGGGAGTCGGAAGTGGATGGTCTGAAGAATCTACTGGGGATAGCTCTGATCCATCCGTACTTCGAGGGAAGGGAACCGGTTGCACCGGGAACAAGCGACGAGGAGAAGAAGTCAAAGGTTAGCAAATTCTGGGCTTACCTGTGTCCGTCAACCAGTGGGTGCGACGATCCGCTGATCAATCCGGCAGCAGGTCCGAGCATGTCGAGTCTGGGATGCACTCGGGTGGCAGTCTGGGTGGCGGAGAAAGATAGTGTGAGGAAAGAAGGTGTGTTTTACTACGAATGGTTAAAGAAGAGTGGATGGGGGGGAGTGGTAGAAATATCTGAAGAACAAGGGGAAGAGCATGTTTTCCATCTGGTGAAACCTGACAGTGAGAAAGCCATGGCCATGATGAAACGCTTGTCCTCTTTTCTCAACCAGAAACTGGAACATAACAATTCGCTCCTCTGATTATAATTCCAAATTCCAGTCGAATTAGGTATCTTTTTCTTTTCTTTTCTTGTTTGATTTAATATTGGGGGATGCAAATTGGGTGGTCTTAGAATCATTTGAATTTCTAGAGATTTTAACTTTCTTGAATCAATTTGACAGGGAAATATATAGATATCACACAACTATCATCCTCATGGCTCATCGTCTATCTTATCCCACTGATGAGAGTAATATGTCTGAGCGACGATCCAATTCTATGTGATTTAAACAGAAGTTAATTGCAGACTAGTATCTAGAGTTGGAATTTCATGAGACAGCTGTTTGTAATATTATGACCTCTGCAAAATTTCAACGAATAAAAATGCTGTGGTGAGCTGATTGATTGGTTGTTTTGCAGATTTTTCCTTCTTTTTTTGTTTTTTTGTGTTATTTTTTTTATTTGTCATTGGGCCACACAACGGATAACCCATCCCCATGAACTCACATAGTTTGTCCCGTAGTCTGATATTTTACACTGAACCGTAACTGTTGCACTTTTAAAAATCGTGGCGTGATTGGTATAATAAAGTTTTACATCAATTGTAAATATTACATTGATAATTAAACTTCATTCCATCCAAATTCATAGAAAATTGAATCGGAGTGAAATTTTATGTCGATCATAATTATACATTAAGCCCAATCTTGATTTCAATTTTGTTTAACCTGTATACAAAATCTTATTCATTCATTTAAATCCTGATCAGATTAAATAAGGGAAGATGACAGTTCAGTGTAGGGTTAGAATTTTTAGGTTTGATGTATAAAAATAGGGGTTTTTGACATTTTAAATATTTTTAAGTCAGCCATGAAATTCAGAAATCTACATTAGACCTATGATACTTTTCCCATAAATAAAACAAAGTAGTAGAATCCTAAAGATGAAAAGTCTTTCAGGATCATTCAATCAGTTAGAAGTCGGATATGTGGCTAGCCCAGATTCACATTTTCAAAGATATTTACTAGGAATTCCAGTCTTACGTGCATATTCTTTTTTCTAGAGAGGCTAAGTTTGACGTTAGGATTCCAACAGTCCCAATCATAAAAGTAAAGCCAATACAACAGGGCGTCAATAAGGGTATCAACGGTAAGATGGCAAAGTCGATGGAGGGTTGCAGGGTCGATTACGGGAAGATGGCAGTAGCGATGGAGGGTTGCAGGGTCAACGACGGAAAGCCGCTAAATTGCAGCTCAACGGCAAAATGGCAGCGGTAAATGGGTTTCACGCTATTGATGTTGGTGATGGTGAAGTGAAGGGGCGGTGGGGGGGAGGGGAAGAGGGGAAGAGAACAGCGGAAATGATTGATGGCCTGGGTTAATTGTTTTTAATAAAGTTTTGGCGTCTATCCTTCGCCAGTTTCAAATTGAATTGGTGACGGCCTGACGGGACAGAAAATTTTCTATCCTAAAGGACAAACGATGTCAGCTCCATCCCCTACCCATAACCCCCAACCTAGTGCCCTGGTGGTAGTAGGATTCAACCTCAAGTCTGCTGAAGCTAACGACTCATCCACCTATCACTTGATACCTCCTCCCAATTAAGATTATTATTTTTTGGGGTAAATTAAAGATTAGTACGCCATACTTTGGGCCTGGTCTCACTTTGATACAAGTATACCAATCCAGTGCCTGAATTCCCAAAACATCCCAGTTTAGTCCCAAAATCATTAATTGTTGTTGAGTGTCATGTAAAAAGATGCAAATGCCCTTTGGGTGGCATCTAATTTTCTTTGTCAATCATACCGATTTGTTTGGCTCATTTCATGATCTATTGTAGGTTTGGAAGCTTTGGCTGTCTTGATTCTTGAGGAAGATGATGAATAGTATTTTATTTTGAAAGGTAATTTTGACATTTTTAAAAGTTTTAAGTTGCACATACATATAACTAACGGACTGCTGGTGGCAGGGACTAAACTGACAGCTTTTGGAAGTTTAGGTACTTGAGTTGATAACATTTTAAAATTTGGGTACCAAGTCAGACTAAACCCAAAGTAGTATGAATCTGCAATTTACCCTTTTATGCTAAAGAAAAGAAGATAATCATTTTCTCCATTTATACTATTTTGTATGTATTTATATTGTATACATTTGTATTCCTATTCCTTCCAAACTGAGCCCAAGATTCACAAGATAGGCTTCAGTGCTTACGAGACTGGGCTCACACCATTCGCACAGCCTTTTACACCGTCCCAATGCAAGTTGCAAGGAACTGCTAATCGTGTGAACACGATCTTATGAGCACTGAAGCCGGTTTCAAGGTTCACGTTCTTGTGATTAAATCCACCAAAGCTCTTGGTAATTGGTATACGCTGGCTTAAAATGGAGCCAAGGGCCATTTATCAGGCAAGACAGTGCACATGTTGAGTGCCGTGGATATTCAGTGGATTGTTTGGTTTGAAACATGCCAATTGCCACACCCATACGTGTAACCAATTTTAAAACCACCATTGGATCTTGGACCTAATTGGTTTATAACCACAATCAGAGTAGGTCAAGTAGATTCAAATATTCCACTTAAGCTATTTTTGTTTGGGGGTGGAAAATCAAACCGGGGTAAATATTGATTTTACTGGTGTTTGATAAACATATAGTTTAACACCGAAAATCGGTATAAAATTATATTTTGAATTTTATTTACATTAATAATCGATGTAATAAATATATTGAAATTATCGATGTAAAAGTAACTGCTCTTTCTTCCTCTCTTTTCTTATTCTCTCTCTTCTTCTTCTTCTTCTTCTTCTTGTCTCTTGCTTGCTCTCTCTCTCTCTTCTCTTTCTCTTTCTCTTTCTCTCTTTTTTTCTTCCCCCCTTTTTTTCTTCTTCCACCTCCCATCTGTCTCTCTTTCATTCTGTCTCTTTCTCTCTTCTCCTCCTCCTTTTTCTTCTTCTTCTTCCTCTACTTCCCTCCTCTCCTTTTTCTTCTTGTTCTTCTTCCTCTACTTCCCTCCTCTATTGGGATTTTCATCCGGTTCTTGCCCTTTGTTTTGGTGTCTCATCAAATCCAATGTTGCTGGGTATATCTAGCGAGTCAACATGGATGACCAAATCCGGAGATGTCAGTGAAAATCCCAACAGTGAGCAACCTGTAAAACAAAGATCCAAATAAACAAATATTCAGAAAGAAAACCCGGATAGAAATGTAAGTTCTGATCGTTTCTCACAAGAAGACTGGAAAGATCACAACCGAATCGAGTGTAGAGAAATGAGACTGGATGTAAGAGAACCTGAGCATAGTGTTTGCTTTTTCTGCTTTATTTGCTGGAGAATGGATGTAAGAGAACAAGTATCGGAAGCTGAAACAAGTCCAGAGAAATGCTTTCTCTATAACTTAGGTTTTCCCTCTTTTTTCTAACCTAGGAACAAAAGAAACACTTTTGTCAACTTCTCAAAGTCCATTTCTTAGTCATCTCGTCTTCGAGAGGAGAGAAAGTTGGGACTTAGCTAGAGGGGAGGAGATTTACATGATGGATATTCTCCAAACGCATACAAAAGTCGAACATTACTTTTACACTGATCATCCAAATGCAGTAGAGTGTAAATGGGTATAAAAGCCAGTTCAAGTTTTACACTGAAAAATTTTTACAGTTGTTAAACTCCTCAGTGTAATTTTGTATTTACACCACAAACAAATGCAACCTTAATAATTTAGACGACTTCAATCTTCAATTATTGATGCTCAATAGTGAATACATCTTTATATAAAAATTAGGGGTTTTTATTATGGAAAAATACAGACCGGCCTAATGTAGATTTCTGAATGATCCTACAAATCTATAAATATTCAAAAGGTAAAAAACCCACATTCTATGCACTCATACCTGCCCGAGAATGGCATACCCCAACTGTACTTTGGGCCTATGAATTCTGACCCTGGGTTGAACGGTCATTCTCCCTTTTTATTGTTCAGTTCACCTGAATAAATTTTAGCTCTACTGTACAGTTGGGATAAGTACCAGTTTAGAATTGATATTAATACATGAGCAGGTATTGATATTATAAGTGGAAGTATTTGAAATTTTGAATTGATGTAGGTTTACAGTAAAATTTAGAATTATGAAGTGGAGTGCAGTATAGTTTTTACTAAAAATTATTGTTTTGATGCATCTCAACTTGAATCAATAAAGCTTTATCCCAATCTTAATCTTATGGAATGTTACAAGAATACTATGACATCCTTGTAATATAGAAATTGAAATTTTAATTTTCTTTTTGTTGCATGAAACCAGAAACGATACAGATTCGAATAGTACAATAAATTAAATGAAGCAAAACAGAGATATAAAAATTAATAAAAAAACAGAGCACATATAGGTTTATGTGATTTGATAGGCAAAAACCCTAAATCCCAATACATTCAAATCACTCATTCTCCATTCTTTTGATTGCCAGTACAATGATACAAATATGAAAAATAAAAAGCCCCAACAACAATATATAACATATTTGGGCTTGGACGTATATATAGACAGTAAAACAGGTCGGATGCACCTCCGGATGACAGCCTAAACTCTCCATGGGTGGAGTGATGTCCTAATGAAGAGAAGACTTTACCTCACTATAGTGACTAACTAGCATGGTGTTTGGAAGTGTGGATGGTGTTTGGAAGTGAAGAGAAGACTTTACCTCACAAAAAAATGCTTCTTCCACATAGGTAATGAGTAACACTATGCTGTTTGATAAGGTGATTTTCATCATTATTTTTCATGTATGTGCTAATAGGTAAGCACCACATAGGATACACATGAGTCAACCGTTGGGGGAAACGGTTCATCGATGCATGAAATGCCAAATTTGGTGTTTCATGCATCGGTGGGGTCCCTATTTTCGAGGTATGCCCGATTTTTAAATAATCGGCTGAACCAAACAATGAAATAGATGGGCGTTTGCTAAAATGCCTATGTGGATCCGACATGATGCCCGATTTTTAAATAATCGGCTGAACCAAACAATGAAATAGATCGGCGTTTGTTGAAATGCCTATGTGGATCCGACATGGCACCATTTTTTTGAAAAACGGCCACGGTTCCAAACATCCCCTAGAACAGGAGACAGCATATTCAACATGACGATTAACATGAAAGAAAGAAATGGAAGGTGTTGGTTCAGTTTTGTTTCAGTTCAGTATTCCAGAAAAACGGAAGGATCAGTTCAGCTTTATAGTTGACCTAGAAAAAAAAACCAGTGGTTAACGAAACCAACCGGTGTTTATATATATATATATATATATATATATATATATATGTCACATATTATCTATATTATATATAAATATATGCATTATATATAAACATATACATATATTATTTTTATTTATAGTATTTATAATATAATATACTATATATCATTTATGATTTA